GTCCCTTCCCGGCTGGCCAACCTCCCACATCCCTTCCCGGCCTTGATCATGCACCAGTGGGGTCCCTCGGCATGGCCTGCACCCTCTCACAATCCAGGACCCCTCATGGGATGTCAGAGAGCCAATTTTGGCCCGATCCTGCAAGCCAGGCTGAGGGACCCCACTGGTGCACAGTTTGTAAAATCTAGTGGTTTAAAAAAAAAACAAATCTGTCCATTCAGAAATATGATATTTCTCTCCATGTCTTCCTTTTAGTCCTTCAGTAATGTTTTAGTATTTTCTTCAATATAAGGCTTGTACAATTCTTATTGGGTTAGTATTTAAATTTTTGTTTCAATTATCAAATGGGACTATTTTTCCTATTCATTTTCTAAATAGTGCTGCTGCTGCTGTACAGAAAATATATTAATGTCTTATGTTACTCTTATATTCACTCTAAACTCTTTCTAGGTCTGGATTTGATGTCAGAATATGCCCATTCGTAGGGTTCAGTAATTACTTCATTTTCAAATTTAAATAACTTTAATAATCGTAACATGAAAGTGTTCTGACAATAAAAGTTACTTAAAATAAAGAGGCATGGTAGAAGGTTGTATAGACTACTCTGTAGAGCTTTAAAAAAAAAAAAAAAGAGTAAGAGCTTATTTTTTGACATCAAAGTCCTAGTATAAGAGCAAAAAATGAAAAACAAAAATAGATGCCCTCGTCTGGCACTCACCACATTATGGTTTAATGTCAATTTTTGTTCCCTTGGGCCTAATTCAAGGTCAAGAGAAAGACAGTGCTCATTTACCCTGATGGAGTGGTGGAGACAAGGTAAATTTACTTTCCCAAAACACATATTGAAGTTTTTAATATTGCATTCTCTGATTTGATTCGATAACCTCCAGAAAACAATTTTTGCTCTGCTTTACACACTTCCTCGGTAAAAAAAAAAAAAAAAAAAAAAAGCATAACCATAAAAAAGACTTTTGCTATTTTTAGAGTTGTTGCAATGGCTTTCAGTAGTTTAATATCTCACTGCACATATTTCAAAAAACTTTATATACATACTAGAGCCCCGGTGCACAAAATTTGTGCACAGGTGGAGTCCCTGGGCCTCGCCAGTAATCAGGACCGATCAGGTTCCCTGCCTCCTCCTTCCCTCACCACCTGCAAGCTGCCACCACGTGGTTCCCCACCTCCCCGCCTCCTCCTTCACTCACCACCTGCAAGCTGCCACCTACCACCGGTACCCTATCACAGACCAGGACTTGGCCCTTATTGTGACCTGCCAGCCAGAGGGAGGACCAGGAGGTTGGCAGGCAGGCCCCTATTGAGCAATTGGGGGCCTGTCGGCAGGGGGGAGGGGCCAACCGCCACCATTGTGAGTGGGCGGCGGGCCAATCGGGGCCTGGCAGCCAGGGGAGGGACCAGGGGGGAGGGATCAAGGAGGTTGGCCACCAGTCCCAAGGAGGGAGCCAGCCCTCAGTCCCCCTGGGAAAGGGGCTGCGTCCACTGCCATCCACCCCGGTTCCCCGGCCCAGCCCAGGGGCCCAGCCCCAATTGGGCCACCAATGCCTGCCGATCAAGAGAAGGGACTGGGAAATTGGCCAGCAGGTTCCATCAGTGATCAGGGCCTGCAGGCTGGCGGCAGCTCCTGCATTGAGCATCTGCCACGTGGTAGTCAGTGCAGATCATAGCCACTGGTCGTTCTGGTCATTAGGCTTTTATATATATAATTTGAATTTCGCTCCCGGATAACATTTACCGGTATTTTAAAGTAGTCACATGATATATCTTCTTCTAGGTATAGAGCTGAGAATATACCAACTTTTTAATACTTCGTAATACTTATTTTCATTTGAAGAGTAATAGATTAAACTCAGTGATCTTTTTCCAAATTCCTAAAATATTATAGGTTCAACATAAAAGTGTATTTCAAGGTTGTCTGTAAAAACAATCTACAAAGGATATGAAAAGTGGAGCTTAGTATTTTAGACAAATATTTCCTAAATTTCTATGATTACAAGTTCAAGTATATAAAAATGAATTTTCCCTTGTGTTTACAACAAAGATTGGTTTTAATTGGAAACAGTAGGGCAAAATTTTTCCATATGCAGGAGATATTATTACCCAAGTTTCAGAGCCGTTTCAGTAGATTAGCCAGCTTCAATTTACAGAGAAACTTAGATCTGATTTACGTATATAATGAGAATTGGCACAGAGCTGAGCATATAAATGGTCAAATTCCAAGTATTTTTCCCAATCATCTGTGACATATTGTCAAGATTTAAAATTCCATCTGCTTTGTTCCCCAACTAATATAACCAGGTTCTAGTTAAGAGGAAAAAGGCACATACCATACAGATGTTTTATGAGAAATGTTCTCATTGCTTTTTTCAAGTTGGATTGCATTACTGAAAAGCCATAGTGTGGGGCTTATTATTAAAAAATTATTCAGAAAACAACAACAAAAACACAATAGTATTTGCTCAGGGAAATTAAACCCAAAATCACATGGTCTACAAATAAAATTTTAAATGTAAACTGTGTTCACTATCTGATCCATCTGAAAGGCAGATTGTCAAAATCATTCATATACTGTTATTTTACATTAGCGGCTCAGAGCACGAAATTCATGCATGGGTAGAGTCCCTAGGCCTGGCCAGTGATGAGGGATGATCAGGGTCTTCTGGCTGCCAGCTGGGGCCTTCCTTAGCTCTGTGCTGCCCCCTGGTGGTTAGGGCATGTCACAGAGAGAGATTGAACTCCCAGTCTCTCTACCAAACTCCTAAGGCAACAATTTGCATATTAGGCTTTTATATATATAGATGAGTTGGGACTGCTGTGAAAGATTCTGTTACTAAGGGGGTGGTTCTAACTTGGAGATCCTGGCTTCTGGGTGGTAACTCTAGACAGATAGCTTAGGATCTAACTTTATGCTAAAAATTACAAAGAATCAAACAATAAAGGTCCTAGGATGAGTATCAGAAGAGCCAAAACTAAAAAAAAAAAAAAAAAAAAAAAAATAAAAAAAAGATATTTTTTAAATTGCTTCAGAGAAATAAAGAGAAAGATGTTTTGGCCATGCCTCAACAGGGGATGAATGTCTCTCTGGATAGAAATGATGTGAACTGAAAATTCTCCATAGTAACAATTCTAATTAATTATTCAAAGCTACGGTTTGATTTTCTAAGGTTAAGAGCTAACTATGGTCTCCTGTTTCTATCATTAAAAACTGGTTTCTTCTTTGTATCTGCTTACTCAGGCATTAATGAGAAGCTTCTCATGGGATCTTAACAGCAACTTTATCACAAAGACCCCACTTTCAAGGTAAGTGTGCCATTTTGCAGGCTTGGTTTAAGGGATAATAGAAAACGTGTCTAGGTTCCAGATTCAAAAAAGTTTTAACATCCACTTTATCTGTAAGCATAGAAACAACAGATATTAACATTATCACATGGTATTACAACATCTTTTTAGCAAAGGACTTAACTATAATTCAGTGATGTTTTGTAAATACCGTATTTTTCAGACCATAAGACGCACTTTGGGGGGGAAAAGTCCCTGCGTCTTATGGTCCAAATATAGCCTACACATATACCGTATTTTTCGGACCATAAGACGCTCCGGACCATAAGACGCACCAGTTTTTAGAGAAGGGAAATGAAGAAAAAAAGATTCTGAAACAAATAGTGTCCTAAAATATTTTATGTGCATTAAAACCCAACATCACAGTCATAAACACATGTAATCAACCCTGTAAAGTAAACAGCAGCATTTAGAACCATTTTAGAGCCGGGCAAGCACACAGAGGCGGGCAAGTAAAAAAACTTTTTTTTTAAAGTATATGTGTAGGCTATATTTGGACCATAAGACGCAGGGACTTTTTCCCCCCACTTCTGGGGGAAAAAAGTACGTCTTATGGTCCGAAAATAGCCTACACATATACTTTAAAAAAAAAGTTTTTTTACTTGCCCGGCTCTGTGTGGTCTCTGTGTGCTTGCCCGGCTCTAAAATGGTTCTAAATGCTGTTTACTTTACAGGGTTGATTACATGTGTTTATGACTGTGATGTTGGGTTTTAATGCACATAAAATATTTTAGGACACTATTTGTTTCAGAATCTTTTTTTCTTCATTTCCCTTCTCTAAAAACTGGTGCGTCTTATGGTCCGGAGCATCTTATGGTACGAAAAATACGGTAAGTGGATTTTTTTTGTATTTTAAGAGAAATTGGAACTGAAATGCTTATCATTCAGTAACTTGGAAAACCAGCATTTCTCCAATGCTGGGTTAACATGAATTTAGAGTGAAATGACATCATTTCAGGGAAATTAATCCATGCTAAGAAAATTTTATTGCACAATACAGGCAGACACTGTAGTTTTTCTAGCAAGAGAAAGAGGGTGTAATACTGAGTGGTCACTAAAATTATCTTAGAACAGTTCTCCACATGGACTCTAATGGAGTCACAGTAACCACAAATGTACCAGACTCTACACACAGAAATGAAATCCAAGCCAAATTAAGTAGCTCTTATCAAAATAAAATTGGCACTGAGTGGGCTGCACCTGTTAAGGGGATAATCTGATCCTCAAAAGAGGAGGACTAGTCAGCCAACAGTTGGTCAAACAGAAAATGCAGTCACATGTGGGAAAAGGGTAAAAACTTCCTAGAAACCAAATTCCTGGACACATCTGCTGTCCCACAATGTCTCAAACTGGAACTCTGGATCTGAATAACCTTTCAAAATTAGGAACAAGTCTTCTAGGAAAGGATCTGGTTAATAACCCAAACTCAATTTCAAAGTCATTTCTCATTAAAAAAAAAAAAAAAAAAAAAAAAAAAAGCTAGGCATGTAATATTTAGTTTCTCACAGCTCCAATATGCTGTCCACTCTAACACATACCACTTCTCGGATCCATGCCCAAGGCAGGGACGTGGGCCCAGCCTGGGCTGGGGTCCTGCTGCCACACCCACCAGGCTTGCTCACCCCAGCTCCTTCCTGTACACATACCTGGCTCCTTCTTGCTCCCCTTTCCTCCCTCTCGGCTCTTCTTCAGCACAGCCTTTAACATTTTCGACACACTCCTTTGTTTCTAAAGGGAAAAGGAGGGGTGGGGAGAGGAATTAGCAGCTGTAAGTTAGAATATAACCTGCATATTGACATTAGCGGTAACTTGAGTTCAAATAAACAGATCATTTAGGATAAGATAACGGTACCTTGAGTTTTACATTAATTTTCTATGACTGAAGATGGGGAACTAAATGCTAAAGGCACAAGGAGTGTTTCATCACTTTTAATAAAGTTCACTGTCTTACTATAAAAGTAAAAACAAACAAAACACAAAGTGCATTCTTAGCATTCCACATCTAATTAAGGTTATGAGAGTAGATCTGGGGACATCACTGTCTGGTGTCTGGCAATAGGAATGCAGGTCCTCCCAACCAACCCTAGTTCATCAAAAGAAAACATTAAAACTGAAAATCAAAAAAGATAACGATTAAGAAGGAAGCTACATGGTCCAAGGCCTGTTCTACAGATGCTACTGATTATAGAACCACAAGGAAAACATTTGGGAAGGCTATCAGAATGAAACATACCTTCTAAGCAATCGCAAAATAAACACGGTGGGAACACATTTTAAAACTGATGTCAGGGGATGTGATCAAACACCACACACTAGCATGGGCTTTTACTACAAACGGTTATGAGTCTTTTGGGGGGTGGGAAGGAAAGCAGCCCGGGCCAGTGGCATTAGGGCTGAATCCTTTCAATAAAACAGCTGTAGTTTTAAACAGGGTTGTACTGAGCATGCAAAAAAAAAAAAAAAACCCAAAAAAACAAAAAACAGTACAATGGTCCAGGCCTAAGATGAAACATGAAACCATCAACAGCAAAGAGACAGACAAAAGGACCATTATTTCACCCTTTGGGCCGTCTCCTTTAGCTCTCTCTTCCCTCCACAGCTGAGATGAGATGAGATGGCTGGACAACTCCAAGCAGTGACAAACCTGAGCGGGTTGTGTTACCCGCCACATCATGACTAATGCACTACAGAGAAGGTAGAAGGCAAGCAGGCTGCTGCTGAAAGATAAAGGAAGAAAGAGGAGAGAGCAAAGGAGGGAGGGAGAAACTCCGACCCAGGTAGAGCAGAGCTCCCAAACCTGCCTGGGCTGCTGAATGGTTCCAGTGGCCTCGGTGGAACACCGCTCGTGACCTCTCAGCACCCGAGTCAGGCACAGGTGCTGAGGGGATGGCTGAGGCTTGGAGAGTGTGCTGCCTGCCTGCCATTCACAAACCCCACCACAGTAAGTGTGCAGGGCGGCCTCTTCCTTATCTTTGGGTCCAGGCCTCTATTTATTTTTCCAAGCCCTTTGTTTTCCTGATGAAGACACAAAACCTAGGAGGCTGACTTGCCCAGGGATCAGGCAGCTAATGAGCACAGGGCCAGAATCCAAACTGCAGACTCCCAGAGAGCGAGGGTCCTCCTTCTTCCTATGGACCCAACTCTCTTCTCCAAGCAATGAAGGCTTTGGGCAACAGCAATCAATCAAACAAACAAACAAAATATTCAACAAGCAAACAAACCTCAGAAATACGAGGGAGATCATAACTTCAGCAGAATTTGAGAAAGTGATACTAAAATGTTTTGGAGTTAAATCATTTTCCCAACAAGTCTTTACACATAAAGGGGGCATGGCTTAGAGCCCAACTTTCTTTAAAAATGCTACTTTGAGCCCAGCCAGGCATGGCTCAGTGGTTGAGCTTTGACCTATGAGCCAGGAAGGTCACAGTTCAATTCCTGGCCAGGGCACATGCTCAGGTTGTGAACTCAACCCCTAGTAGGGGGCGTGCAGGAGGCACCCAATTAATGATTCTCTCTCATCGCTGATGTTTCTATTTCTCTCTCCCTCTCCCTTCCTCTCTGAAATCAATAAAAATATGTTTTGTTTTGTTTTGTTTTAAGGCTACTTTGAGTGAACCCAGGGGAAAAACGACTCCGCCTAAAGGGCCAACACTGAATCTGGAAGAGGACTCGGTGTGTTCAACCGAGACAGATTTCTCCTGACAGCCACACTTGAAAGAAACAGAGCAGCTGAAACCGGTTTGGCTCAGTGGATAGAGCGTCGGTCTGCGGACTGAAAGGTTCCCGGTTCGGTCAAGAGCATGTACATTGGTTGGGGGCACATCCCCGGTAGGGGTGGTGCAGGAGGCAGCTGGTCGATGATTCTCTCTCATTGATGTTTCTAGCTCTCTCTCCTTCTCCCTTCCTCTCTGTAAAAAAATCAAAAAAATATATTTTAAAAAAAAAAGAAAGAAACAGAGTGGCATGCGTCATATAAAAGAGTACCAGGCAAAATGAAATAAAGAGATGCCTAGTAAGCACAGACATTTTTTTCTCCAAATAAGTCAATCAACATTCAAGGTTTGTCATTTAGCAAAGACTACACACTTTACAAATAAAACAAAGAAAAACCTTGAAGAGCTCGTCCAAAGCCCCTTTTGAACTGTTCCAGAGTAATCCTGATTAATCACCCAGTTGGCACCAATCCACAGCTTCATCCATCGTGCCACTTGGAAATAGCTACCACAGGGCAGGACTGGTAGACGCTGACCTGGGCAGCTCCTCCCAGGCACCGTGTATGCCCATTGTTGGGGAGCTCAGCTGTTTTTAGCACAGTCACATCTTCCACGTCAGTGGTCTTGAGTAAAGTGAATGAGGCTATCAAATATTTGCTGCAATTTTTTTTTTCCAGCTCCTGCTTTCCTCCATAAATAGCAAGTCAAGGGAAAGAACTTAAATGTATATTCAAAACCTATTCAAACTATGACCTGGAGACACCAAATGATTATACTTGAATATAAAAGTAAGCAACCCCTACCTACACACACCTGGAAGGGAAAAAATAAGACTATTCCCAGTGAGCTAAATTCTAAAATAGACACAGATCGGAGTGGAGCTATGTAAAGTCACCAGGAGTCCCAATGACATAACTAAACTTGATTTCATCAATGTACGTTCCTACAGACTGTGCCCATCTGGAAGGAGTGTGGGATCAGAGAGAGCAACTATAGTAATGGGCTGGAGGGGCCGGCATTGGTGGTATAGAGTCCACAGAAGCCCAATGGACACTTATAAACACACACTATGTACTTATAAACACCCACCCCCCCCCCAACATCCGATTCTAGAAGGGGACCATCAGGCTTGCAGAGCCCAGTGCTATGAAACCTTGCTCCTTTCCCCGATACTGTTTTCACTGAGAAGCGCCTCCTGGTTTGGCTCCTTTGCCAGCCTAACAACAGTGGGGAGTGGGCTGCTCCAGTCAACCCCACACAAATGCCTGGCCTGATGGCAGACATTCTGGAAATAAATAAGTGGATGTCCTGACTTTAAACAAAAGCTCAAGTGAGTTCTGTTAAAGCAAGTCACTTTGCAAAGTATCACCGAATGGAGAATATTGAGTTTCTGACCCCCGTATGAATTCTGAAAGGAGGGCAGTGGTGGGTTCCTGAATGGAAATGCCACCATGAAGCAGTCACGAAGGCAGCAGGCAGGCTCTCCCTGAATGACACCTTCGGCATCATCACACACATCCCCCTTCCACACAACATCAACCACTATCATTTTCCCCTAAAAAAAGGAGAACAATGTCCTGCCACAGAAGTCAGCCACATAGAAATGATGCAAACCAGCCTTCCAGACCCAGTCTTCCAGACCCAACTGACTAAATGACAAGCCCAACACTCAGAAAAGGAGTGGCCAGAAGCTATCGAGTTGCTGCCTGGGGATAATAATGGGATCAGGAAGCACTTACAGACAAGCATTATAGGATAAAACATAAAAAATAGTGTCCTTTTTCACTTTATAGTATGGACCAAAATACACAGGCTCGCCTCAAATAAATGCTGGCCAAATAGAATCCCTCCATTTCTCCCCATAAAACCTTAGTTTCTAGGTTAGCAAGTAATAGAAATATATGACTGGATTTGAATACATAAAGTATTTGGGGGGGAAAAAAATCGAACCTCAGCTGTCATTTCTGTAAGTTATACTCTTTTGAGAAAGAGTGGAACGACCAGCCTCTAGGTCCCAGCAACTGAAACTAACTAATGGGAGATAATTTTATTATTAATAAAATATTTATTAATAAAATAAAAATGTGAGGACATGCTATTACCCCTTGAAGACCAATAATCTGAAGTCATACACATTTCCTTATTTCTCTATTATCATGCAACATCTAACTTTTCCAAATGCCACAGAGTCTTCCTTTTAAAAGCCCCAGAAGCTAAATCAACTATCAAGCTTACTTTTCCTTCTTGGTTTCTTCTTTAATGCATCAAGTCTTCGGGGATAGGCACAATGTTCCCAGGTGCCTATGTTAGCATTCTACACAGTGATTCCCATGGTATATAAAATATAATAAGAATAAGCCTCAATAAAACAGTGGGATGAATTCAATACAAGCCAAACTCTATTCCATAAGTAATGATAATGGCAGTTATTGTAGCCATGACCAACTTGTCTAAAACCACAAACTAGCGAAAGAATTAAAAATGTTCCTCTTCTGGACTGCCATCCTGCCTGATTATACAATTCCAAGTTGAATCTCTGAGCTGAGGGTAAGGTCTATGTTTACTGGTTAATAGATACAAACAGAAGCCATAACACAGGCTTTGCACCCACTCTGTTCTCTGTATTTGTTGGCAGATTTAACGAGGCTGCAATAAATACAGATGAGAGATTTCTTCCAAATCAAGCAATTAAGCAACACTTATCGAAGTTTACAAGTTACTAAGAACATTCCTATATATTCTCATTCACAAGGAATGCAAGAAACCTCGGTTAAATCCATGTGACATCAGGCAATGGGATATGAAGGAGGAACATGCTGCCTTTTGTAAAATCCCTTCATTTCCACACCTGAATCAACCTTAAAATCTCACGGTAAGAGTAAAATCTTCTTAACCAGATATCCTGAATAAACACTTCCTTTTTGCACACTCCAGTTGAAAGAGCTTCTCCCACCCAACTATCCATCTGACCTCGGAGCACAGCTGTCTCTGAAGGGTCTCTGTTGTTTTGTCCAA